TACAGGCTGGGAGATGAAGGGATTGAGAGCAGCCCTGCAGACATAGACTTGGGGGTGCTGGTGGATGAAAAGCTGGACATGAGCCCGCAATGTTCGCTTGCAGTCCAGAAAGCCAACCAAATCCTGGGCTGCATCCAAAGAAGCGTGGCCAGCACGTCTAGGGAGGTGATTCTGCCCCTCTACTCTGCTCTGGTAAGATCTCCTCTGGAGTACTGCACCCAGCTGTGGGGCCCTCAGCAGAAGAAGGACATGGACCTGCTGGAGCAGGTCCAGAGGAGGGCCACAAAAATGATCCAAGGGCTGGAGCACCTCTCCTAGGAGGCCAGGCTGAGAGAGTTGGGGTTGTTCAGCCTGGAGAAAAGAAGGCTGCGAGGAGACCTTCTTGTGGCCTTTCAGTACGTAAAGGGGGCCTACAGGAATGATGGGGAGAATCTTTTTAGCAAGGTCTGTTGTGACAAGTCAAGGAATAATGGATTTACTAAAGAGGTTAGATTTAGAGTGGATATAAGGAAGAAATTTTTTACAGTGAGGGTGGTGAAGCAGTGGAACAGGTTGCTCAGAGAGGTAGTGCAGACCCCATCCCTGGAAAGATTCAAGGTCAGGTTGGATGGGGCTCTGAGCAGCCTGGTCTCGTTAAAGCTGTCCCTGCTCAGTGCAGGGGGGTTGGGCTAGATGACTTCTAAAGGTCCCTTCCAACCCAAAGCCTTCTGTGATTCTGTGATCTTATTTGATCCAGAACCCATCTTCTGTTCTTCAAATCTGTCAATTAAAGTTACTTTCTTTGTGTGATAACTGAAGTTGGGAACATGTTTGAACTGACTGCTGTCCTGTAAATCTCCTGCCCTCCTTTTCCATAAGATCAATCTAGTCCTAGGTGTACTGTCATGTTTCTAGTCCACTGGCTATGACCTGCTGGTAAGCAGTGACCTCTTTTGCTTTCTCCCCTGCGGGCTTTGCTTCCTTACATGATGCTGGATGTGTCCAGGGTTCTGAGGAATCCAGACAGGATTAATTCCTTGAGGAATTTAAGTTCCTCCCTTGATCTGAGGAGTGAGGAATTAAAGACGAGGCCCAACAATATGGACAGGCCAGAACCATCTACAGTCTCCACTGCATCTTCTTGTCATAGCCAATCCTCCCCCAGCTTATGCAATCTGCAGGCATTGACATACATGTGATACTTCTGAACCCATAGAAATCTACAGCAACCTTTTTTTCTGTCTCCTATGGGATCAGGCTGGAGCAATAGTTGAATAAGAAAATAACATGCCAAAACACATCTGCTAGGCAACAATAATTTGGATCTTCTCCCAAAAGGCTTCCAGTTGGTGCTACAGTAATTTGGAGCAATCCCTATTTTGCATTTACCACGGGAGTAGCCCCTAAGGCACTCACCAGAAATACAGGTTTTTGCTTAACATTCATTATTAGGTGGTTGACATTTTTTCACTTAAGTTTTGTTTTAAATGAAGAGTGATTTGTTGAAAGACTGGGTGTTTGGATTGAACTTTGAACTAAAACATATACATTTTTGATAAAGATACCATTAGCAATTTCAATTACTTTTTTTTAAAAAAAAATCTTTTTCTGGGCTCATGCATGTAGAGATAAAGACATAAACTGTTGATAAACATCCTGATAAAACTGGGCTGAAATACTTCTTTCCTAGTGTTTGTCTCATGATAATGAAAAGAGCAGTGTTCATCTGTTCTAACCAAATCATGTTGGAGGCTGTAAGGTACTGGATGCTACACAAATAAAAAGCTCTTCCTAAAAAGCTGATTATCTAAATGACGGAAGGAGGGTAAGGGAAGGCAACAAAAGCAACATAAGTGACTTGCCCCTAGTCATCCAGCTTGTCAGGAGTAAGGAAAGAAGGGACATCCTAGGTCTTTCAGACCTATGTGATGTGCTGGGCGCTGGATCCCACTTTTCTGTTTTATGTCCTAATTACTCTTT